AAATTAATAACAAATAGATAATTTTTTTTCAGATGTCTAGGAATCATTGATTTTTTATGAGAAACGTTTGTTTTTTTATTTGTGAATGCAATTATAATCCAAATTATGTAGATTTATTACACGAACAACAAGTTATAAAATTAGTATCGAAATCAATTAGGCCAAAGAAGCATTATATATTTTCAATATGTATATGAAGCATCAATATCGCAGTGCTCTTGACATATGTTTTTTACACTTCACACATATAGTTTTTGATTTTCTGCCTTTTTCCCTTGAGCACACATAACATCTCCTGTATTATATATTTTTTCTTTTTTTTGTGGTTCATCAAATCATTTTCTGTAAGAAATTGGCCAATTCATAACTGGTATACCAATTGTCTGTGGTAAAGTTTCTTCCAGATTTGTACAATGGAGTTTTCTATTTCACTAGAACTGCTTACTTTCTTGTACAGCCCATCTGGCTGCTGACAAGCATAAATTTCCATGTTGAAAGCATAGAAGGTTCTAGAAGCAACCATAGCAAATATCTTTATGCCATATCTTGCAGGTTTCTTAGGTATATACTGTCGAAAGGAGCATCGTCCTCGAAACGATTCTAGCTTTTCATTCAAAGTCACGTATTCTCCTACATGATATAATTTCTGTCAATTCTTGACAAAGTTTTCAAGTAAATCTCATATTGGAACTAATTTTTATCCTTTCCTATAAAATAGTCAGTTTAATCACAAGGAATGTCTTCTGAAGGTTCACACTCTTGTTCTGATTCAGACTCATGATCACTAAATATATCTTCATTATCTGAATCTTCTAATTCTTCTATAGAATCTTCATCCGATGAAACCCCCTCTAATAATTTTTGAAGTCTTCATTTCTTGATCATGTGTCAAATGAGGGAAAGACCGAACAGAGCGACTTTGCTCACGCCATGGCTTACACTGAAAAATAGTAACACGAAAGTGCTTGTAGGGTGTTGACATACCCCCAAACTATTATTTAAACAACAATAAATGCTCGGAATTTGCCATTTCCTCTCGAAACGTATAGAACATGACCTTGAAGGCAGGTTCTGATGGACCTAAGCATTTCGGATTATGGGGGGAGATCGCCAGCGAATTTTTTTTTAGCGTGGGGTGCCTAAACACCCCACACCCATCTTCCCGGTTAACTGAATTAGCTTTTAGCTAACACTAGGAAAGACTTGCTGTAAAATCAAATGTTGAAATGAACACTTCAAATCAAAATATGGAAAATTTAATTAAAAGTGGGTTAGAGTCTAGAGAAGGGTACCCCTTGTATTATCGCGAAGTTGTTTCATTTATGGCAGCCTGAGTAGTTGAATGTTATGGAAACCCTATTATGATGTAATCGGTTACATGATTGCGGTAAATTCGTAAGGGCTTGTGGTGTGTGTGTGTGTTAGTTAGGAAATATATTGCTTCTTTCGTGGTTTAGACGGTAAAATGGCTGAATGCGTTAAGATTAATTTGAAGTTTCTGTACGATTTGGAAAGAAAGGGGAAAAGAGCATTACTTGACTGGTATGTACATAAAGGTTTACTTAGTAGCCATTATTAGGTGTCCTGTTTGTGGGAAGGATATGCGCATGGCTGAACGTCAGAAATGCGTGCGGTCGAACGTTGCTACGGAGGATATTTTTTACTTATATGTTGTGAATTTATGTGGCGATGCCAGTGTACAGATTCTAGTTCAAATAATTTTAGGAAGTTTTTGGATGCTGTTAAAGAATTTTGTTTGACTGAAGATGTGTTATTCGTAAATAAGGTAAGTGGATATTTCCTTTGTGTAGTGCAAAGATGAATTTCCTTTTTTATGTTATTTCATTGTTTGATTTAAAATGCAGTTTATTGAGATTATATATTTTTTTTGTTGGCTGCTCCTTTGACTTTTTAAGTGAATATAGGTCGATGTGTACATGAACAAAGTCGAGGGAGCGCGCAAAGCCTAGTTTGTGCAATTCTCTTTGTTTTTTTTAAGGGAAAATAGGTTGGTGTGTACATGGAAAAAGATAAAATGGTACAATGCCATTTTTGTGCAATTCTGGGATTTTTTTTTAAAGTGAAAATAGGTCGATTTGTACATGTATACCAAGTTACTGCAGTTCTTTGTCTTGTTGGCGCAAAAATCGCCACTACACAGGCCAAAATAACAAGTCAAAGAATTGCACAAACTCAGTATCTATGCGCTGCCAAAAACTGCAAAGTTTCGCCAAGGGATATACGTAAATATACTTTTACCTTAAAAGTGTAAAGACATTAACAATTTCTGTACCTACTAAAGCAGAATATTTTAATCTCTTTTTCCAATCAATTGAAAGCCCTAATTTTAAAGGGAGTAAATGGGTGAGTTGAAATTATTAAACAAAGTAATCTTTGTTTCAAATGATTTTCTTCGGGGTGTACTGCAACAAAGTATAGGGTGAGAAATTATTTCTGTGGGAAGGCTTGTCATTCTATGATTCATTTCTCTAAGCAAAATAAAGCTCTTTCAAAAGTAGAGAATTTTATCATCTTAATTATATGCATGGAGGAGTACAGTTAGTTAACTCTGTGATGAAGCAAAAATATTGGTTTATAGGAGCAAAAGCTGCAATATGCTGAGAAGTAAGAAACTGCATTAACTGTGCCAGATTCTACTCTTCGAAACGAATGATGATTGAGTTGCCTTCTGCGAGAGTGAATCCCAGACCATTTCTTAGATCTGGTACTGATTTTTTTGGACCATTTTTGATCAGCCCTAGATGTGGTAGAGGAGTGAATGTGAACCACTGAACATGTACATGTGTATGTTTGTGTGCTTTATAGCGAAAGCCATCCATTTAGAACTTTTTAGTGATCTTAGTGCTCAGGCATGTATTGCAGCTCTAAAATGATTGATCGCATGATGAGGAAATTCAGCTGAAATATTCAGTGATTGTGGAAAGAATTTTATCAGTGCAAAGAATGATTTAAGAGCATGTACAATAGAGGTACTTGGTACTAACTTGACCAATTAAATGGGCAATGAATGCTCTATCAGCCCCTCATTTTGGATGTCTTTGGGAGGCTGCCGTTAAATCCATGAAGTTTCACATAAAACTTGTTATAGGATCACAGTTCCTCTCGAGAAGAGTTGTCAATGTGTCTCGTGGAGATTGAAGCAATACTTAACTCCCGTTCTCTAGTGGCTGCTTCTGAGGACTCAAATGATTTTTCTATGATTACACATGGTCACATCATTATCAGTTCCAAGTTGTGCCTGAACTTGATTTTACAAATGAGAAAATGTCCACCTGTAAACAGTGGAAATTAGTCACACAGGTTTCCCAGTCATTTTGGAAATCGTGATCAGAAGACTACGTGTTCCATCACTCTACATGATTCAGTTGCACTTACAACTAAGTCATGTAGTGTGGTGGAACAAGTCAAGTGGTCAGCAAGTGGAAACTCCACAGGGCCAATTTGTGTGTGAATGACTTGGTGCTAATCAAGGATGAAAACTTGCTACCACTTATGTAAAAAATGGCAAGAGTAATTCACATCTATAAAAAAAACTGACAATAGAGTAAGAGCAGTGAACTTAAAAACTGCCTCAAGTAAAATGAAGAGGCCAATCCATAAACTTGTCCAACTTCTTGTGGATGAATGACTGATTTATTTCTTTCATTTATTTTAATTTTTATATTAACAGGTAGTTTAATTTTTATTTAAGCTGATGACGAAGTCATGGGGCCCCAGTGTTATGACATCCACTGCCTAACGAAAGAGAGTGCTGCATCATCCTTTTTGTTTCTGTATTACATATGTGTAGTGAGTAGGAATAAATGTGTTGTCCGAAATGGGATTGTTAATTTTTACTAAATGTGAAGTTTGATTTGTGCCCCCCCCCTGTATAAAGAAGTGACCAAACAAGCTTGCCAAAACTTTGCAACAGGAAAGCCATCTAACTTCTTTGTGTGTGTCTGTGTTATGCTCATTAAATATTTCACTGTCAGTCTCATCTTCACTTTTAAAATGCAATCTTCATCATTTCTTGCAGATTCTAATAACTCTCACAGTCATTGCATCTTCAGTTTATATGGACTTTTTCTTTCCCATAATGCACCAGAAATCTTAAAAATACAAGTTCAGATACTTTAAATCGTAAAAAGGCTAGTGAGCAAAAATAGATATACTTTTAAATGACAAAAGTCAGTTTCTTGATGAAACATTCCATTGGGAACATACTTAACTGGAACAAAAACATGGGGTGTGTCATATCTCAGTTTCAGCGATTCCTTTTCTAAACACACATGCAACTGTACACCTGTTCTGAAGATGAATAATGTGTAGAAACTGAGCTACTCCATGCATTAGAAAATTTCAGTTTAGGAATATTCCACTTTTATGTAGGGTTCATCTCGCACTCCTTCCTGCAGGTTCATATGAAGTTAACATTCCATAATTTTTATCACCTTTCAGTCAAATCATTTTATTTGAGCATTAAGAAAGAACTATGATAGTTTCAAAAAAGAAACATCTAAATCTTATCAAAATTGGGATGTTATTGATTAAAGACTGGGAAAAAAAAAAAAAAATGCAGTTTGAGAAGAATGAAAAAGCATTCTATTCTCACTTCGAAAATCTTCTAGAAGGAAAAGGGGATCTTAAACTTCAGAACAGGATTTCTTTCATAAGTCAATTGCCTAGTGTGAGTTTTTTTAACTTTGTTATCGAAACTTTGTTATTTATATATATTTTTGCTTTTAATGTTTTTAAGGTTTTATCTTTAAGGTTAATAAAATATTTATTACCCCCCCCCATCCCAAGGAAAATGTTAGGTATGCAAATCTGGTTTTAAAAATGGTGTGTAAAATCGAAGAATGAGCTTTTATAAATTTTATTGCATAAAAATTTCATAAATATTAATATTCACTATTTTATATTAAAGTGTACTTACATTTTTATTTCTAAATGCATGGGTTTTGTGCAATATATTAATTAGAAAAAATAAATTGCAGGAACAAGCATTACATCTTTTAAAAGCACTTAGAGATCTTCCTATCACTTTGGATATATTGCAGGTAATGTAATAAGTTTATTTTTTCCCCTCCCTCCAATATGTAGCAAGATTTTATTTATTTATTTTTTTTAATGTACCATGTTTATCCTAGAAAACAAGAATTGGAATGACTGTCAATTCACTCAGGAAATCAACAAGTGACGATGAAGTAATAACATTAGCAAAAAGCCTTATAAAGGCTTGGAAGAAATTATTACCAGGTAATTGCTTTAATACTGCATTGTAACTTTTAATTTAGATTATGAGGCAGGTAATATGAGTTTGTAATTCTGTTGTTAAAATGAGAGTTTCAAGAACATATGGTAGCTACTTACAGAGGACGAGAGTAGGTGTTGTAATTTTTTCGAATGCTTTATTTTGGACGCAGCTCTAAATTATTTGGAATTAGATATTGACAAACGATTAAATAATAATGTTACTTTATTCGATTTAATCCAACTTTACAAGATTGGTAAGACAGAATCTTGTTCTGTGTTACAATCTTGTAAAGTTGTTACCCACCATCAAGACATTGAATCTGCCCTCGTGTACCTGTGACCGGGAAGCACTGAACATTACTGTTTGCCTGAGCATGTTTTGCAGTTAAGCTTCACATGCGAAAGTAAGTGCTATAAAATCAGCTTTTTATGAAAATATTTGGATTCTTGTGTATGTTATTTCTTATAGTACAAATAGAAAATCCTAATACTCACAATTAAAATAAAATTTGAAAAATAAGTTAATGTGTAGGATTAGTAATAATGATTATGTTTGCATATTTAAATTACCCTGCAGTAAGGAAGTAGCAATCTAAAGAATTTAAATATCTGTGCCTATTACTTCCTGTTACCGTAATTATTTATATATTATTTACAAGAACTTAACTTCTGAATGCACATTCTAAGAATTGCATGTTTTTCATTCACAGAGTAAAATAATAAGTAATACTCATAGCAACAAGGCTAGCACTAGAGATTCTATTCTATAAGATTTTGCCATTATGTGACATAATTTATGCAGATTTAAAATTTGAAATAAAACATTCCATTTCAATGTATCAAATATATTGCAGTTACGCTTTACTTCTATGTCACATTTGATACAGTAGATCCATAGAGCAAAACTGAAGCATATCATATATGATGGAAATAAAGAGGCTAATATTCATTTTATGCTAGTAATTTGAAAGAGTATTGTTTCACATACTCTAATATTACACCAGCATGCAAATTTTAATTGAATGTCATTGTTAAAAAAATTAAACAATTAACAAAAGCTTAATTGATTTTTTTTTTTGTTTTGTTTTTTTATCTGGTGTTCAGTTAAAAAAAAAAACAAATTTTACTTTGTGTAAAGTATAGTTATAATTTTACTTAAAAGAAGAAAAAGAAGCTGTCTGAATTTTTATCTCCAAATTAGAAGAGTTTCCGGAAAGCAGTTGTTCAGTCAGATCCATGGCAATTATAATATTCAAAAGAAGTCTTATTCTTCCAGATGCAAGTGAAGAGAGCAACTATTTAAATTTTTTCCCCTATGTTAGAAACATCCTTACAGTGGAAATAGTAATAAAAAAAAATTCCTGTATAATAGGCTTTGAGGAAAAAGAATCATGTAAATTTTGTTACAAAATGAGATTACAATTTTAATTTTTCAGTATTTTAAATTTCTTATAGATACTGTTAGTTTCATATCTTGATGAAAATGCAAACAGTATCAAATATTACAAAATAAGAGCAGGCTTGTGCACAAAATAAGTTTCTAGGTAATGTAAATAGATTGCCATCACTACTGTTGAAACAGAGAATCTATATGTGGCTATATGTAGCAGTAGTTTTACCTTTAATATGCATTCTTTGTGAAAAAATATATGTAGGGATAACCTTTTTTATAGAGCCATCCAAGTTCATTGCATGCATATTTATAGACTGCAATCTGCTGCATATTCTCTGTAGTTTATACAGGAAAAATTTAAAAAACTACTAGCTGTGAAAAGTATGAAGAAAATTAGGAGTATATTTTTTTAAGAATGTATTATGCAAAACTGAGCAAACATATTCATTCGGTGAATGGTGAAATGTATGTGATATCATGTAACAAGTTAACAGTTCTGCTAGTTTTAAAAAGATAAGTTGGAGATCCACAAATTCGAATTGTTAATTTTTCCAAATAAATATCCTGCATGTCATTCTTTTCTGTTTGTTTTGATTGTTGCAAGAAAATGTGAGCTTTATGCGAGTTTTGATTCAATTGGAAATTTTTTAGAACATTCACAAACTTGTGTGCAACTAATTCTTTTGCCAAGATGAGTTTGAAAAAATAGGTGCCATTTTCATAAAAATTCCATACAAGAGCTGTCATTCAATCAAATTAGGAAACAAGGAACATCAGTAATAAAAGATTACCTTTTTGTACTGTTGTTCTTCCCTTGTGTACAGTAATAATGTTTTCACATAAAAAGAGGGAGAGATACTACACTTGGCATTCATACAACTTTGCCATTGTGCATCAACAAGAACTTAAAGCTACAGCATCTACTATACTACCTGGAACATTTTTTTTATTTATTTCTGAGTGACTTAAAAAACCTCTTCCAAGACTGGGGGTTTGTCTACTGGAGACCATTCTTCTAGAGAATAAGAATCATTCCAATCTGGTCTTAGATCGCAACTGCTTCAAATTCCTCGTCATATAATAGTCCTAAGACAATATACTATAATATCATTGTTATAGAATCATCGCCAATAACCTTGTTATAGCAATTTATCTGCACACTTCATTATCACATTTTATTTTATTATTGCTCATCCTTAGGAATTTACTGTAAAAAAATGTCAAATTAGGCTGTGAATGCATGAGTGCTAAATTAATGCGTAATCATCGCCAATAACCTTGTTATAGCAATTTATCTGCACACTTCATTATCACATTTTATTTTATTATTGCTCATCCTTAGGAATTTACTGTAAAAAAATGTCAAATTAGGCTGTGAATGCACGAGTGCTAAATTAATGATTTCAGCTTTTTTTAATTCTTCAGAATTCACTATATTATTTTAAAATATTTACTAATTATGTTTTCTAAGGTTGTACCAAATTTGGAAGTGCTTAAGACATAAAATTAGATCTGATGGTCTGTCTATATAAAATTACAAATTTTGATAAATGTGTCATTTTTCAGAATGCAGTAAAGATTAATATTCTTAGGTTTGTCTTCCCCCCACATTTTATCTTTTTCATTATCCAGAAGATTTTCTTCCATCATTTTAAATTTTGGTATTGTTTTCAGCTTTTTAAATTAAACTAGATTTTTTTCTTTAGCAGACAGAATTGTTTTTCCAAATACTTTTCTTATATTTATAAAAGAAGTGCTTGATGCTTAGATAGCTAACAATGTTTACTTAGTAGAACCATCACAGCCTCTTTGTACTAGATAGTTTCTATGATAATTCTAAATTGTGTTTATTTCAGAAATTTAAAGAATGAATGGGCTGTGACTTACGATAGTATTGTGCATGATTTATATTACACAGTTTTCATTCTGAAGGTGAGGTATTATTTTATTGAAGCTGGGTAGATAAAGAAATTATCTTAAAATAAGTTTTTGTGTTGTGTTAAACGTGTAAAAACTGATAGCTGGGTAGATTGCAGATGATGTTCTAAGTGGAGCAAAATGTAAAATTCAGAGCCACTTGTATATTAATTATTTCTGGGGGAAAAATTTGATATGAGCAGAAATTTGGGTATGGAAGATTTACTGTGTTTGTGTATTCAGAGAGGAACTGCAGTTTGAAAATATGTCTTAGAATTGATTATTAAATGATAGTTGAGTTTTTTATGTTAATAAAAAATGTGTTTTAACTTTTTTTTTTTTTTTTTTTTTTTTTTTTTTTAAAGAAACTCCAAATGCAAAAGGAGATGGGAATGGTAACAGTAGGGATTCTAAAGGAGAAAATTCAAATGGTAGTAGTGTTACAAATCAGTCTCAAAAAAATGATTCCTCTAAAGATTCTGGTTCTAAAGTTTCAGCATCATCTAAACCTGCTGTTCCTAAGCAAACTACTTTTCCTGCTGATACTACAAATTCTGTGAGACTGAAGTGTAGAGAAATGCTAGCTAATGCTCTAAAGGCAGATGGTAAGTTTGTAAATATTGTATAAATGTATATAAAGAAACATCAGTAGAATCGGCATAATATTTTTTATTCTTATATGTTATTTTAGGCACTTCTTTGTTAAAGCAGCCACCATCGTTAGTGGTTAAATTTGACAAGTTTTACCCTCATAATAAATGATGTACAGATTTCGAATGTGTGGCCACTGTAACAATGTCATCCAATTTATAATTTTATGTGACTTAAAGGTTGTTTTATTTTCAAAATGATTATCTCTCTAATTGCTGAAGATTATTATTATTATTTATTTTGGCTGTACTCTTATATGTGCCCCAAGATCACCAAATATGGCAATATGTGTTCTGGTTTTTGGCGCAATTGCATGTTGTATGGCAAACCTTTTGACGTTGAATACTCTTTTGCTGGAGTGTTTTAATTGCTCATTTGTTCATGTTGTGCATGTTTTGAAATGGCCTATGTTGCAATGAGAGACGTGGTTGCAAGACGGTCTGGGAGATTATTTTTAGTGGCTGTGCATGATAGAAATAAGGAAACGCTGATGCAGTGTATTAAAGAGTGGATTGAGCCTTGTACATCTATTTTTTCGGATGGCTGGAAATCTTACAAGGATTTAGGAAAAGAAGTTTCGAACATTTATTTGTGAACCATAGTTTGAATTTTCTGGATAGTGTGTCTGGCTGTCATATAAATACGATAGTGATTACGTGACGGGATGCTAAAGGCGGCATGAAATTGGTATTTTTGCTGTTCAAAAAAGCATTCATTTCATGGTAAGTGCATTTTATTTTATTCTTGTTCTTATTTTGTAGAATGTTATGTTCATTGTTTTTTTAGAGTAAATTTCTGTCGTTATTGTTGGTTTTTTGACTTGTTCAAAATTTAGTTTGTTAATTAGTGCATAGTGCCTACATTATGCACTTTGTAGATGTTTTTTAAAGTTGAAACAGAATGCTGTGTACATGGTATTCTTTGAAATTTATTGTTATGTTAATTTATTAACCCTCTGAGTGGCCAGGGTTTTTGCCAAGAAAGCACAAATTTTCCAAAACTACTATGAGAACAAATTATTTTTTGGATTTTAATGTAAGAACTATCCTGTTATTTCATACCTGTATGTGGGTACTTATGATATATTGCCTTAATTTCTTTGAGTTATTTTAATATGCACATATATATACGTTCTTACAGATATCACAAAAAATATTCTAGGTTGTATACACTGACTACCAATAAGTATTTGGACACCTGTGATAGAAAAGAAAAACTAACTTTATTCAAAATCAATAGTCGGTAGAGCCTCCATGAGAGGTAATTACAGTGTGGACCCTCCGGGGCATACTTTCCACAAGTCTTTGTATGACAGCTAGTGGTATTTTCTTCCACTTGGCTTCGAGAAGACATAGAAGTTCCTTCACCGAGTTTGCACAGGTAGTGCACCCCTGAATTCGACGATGCAACTCGTCCCAGAGGTTCTCGACTCTGGGCAGGCCAGTCCATTCAATGAACTCCATTGGCACCATACCAAGCCTTGGTTAACGTCGAAACATGGCAACTGGCATTGTCATCCTGAAAGTAACAGGGGTTCAACCCGTAAACCTGCCACAGCGTAGGAAGCCCATTGTCATCCAAAATAGTGCAGTAGGCATTGGAGTTGAGCTTATCATTAATGGGGACCCGGTCCCCATTACCAGGAGAAACACCCCCAGACCAGGAGAAAAGAAAAACAGTAAAAATACCAGGAGAAACACCTCCAGACCATAATTCCACCTCCGGCAAACTTGACTGTTGGCACAACGCATTCTGGCAGGAGACGTTCTCCAGCTAGACGCCAGACCCAGACCCTGCCATCCGAACGGTAAAGGGTGAACCTTGATTCGTCACTCCAAAGAACCTGTTTCCACTGATCCACGGTCCAATTTCGATGTGCTTTGCACCACATTAACCGAGCAGCACAATTGGACTTTCTGATCAAAGGCCGTATGGGCAGCAGCACAACCATGAAAACCAAGCAGATGTGCTTCCTTACAGATGGTATTCATTGAAACAATACTCCCGAATGCCTGTTGAAACTCCTCGCGGATGAGGGCCATCGGTTGAGTGCGGTTCTTCCGAATTTCTCTGGACAGCACTCATCGGTCTCTATCTCCAGTTTCGTTGGTCTGCCGACTCGGGGCACATTCCGACAATCACCGCTCACCTTCCACTTCTTAATCACATAGGCCACTGTCGATTTTGGGTACTTCAGATCACTAGATATGTCCCTTAAGGATCGGCCACATTTGTGATACCCGATAATTATACCTTTCTCGAAATCAGAGAGCTCCGAACTCCATGCGACTAAAGCCGATGCTGTTTCCTCCACGATATATACCAGCGGAGTCCGTGATGTACCTGAGGACCGCATATATTGTCATTTATGTAGGTGTCCAAATACTTATTGGTAGTCAGTGTATATACGACTTTGCCGCTTAGAGGGTTAAAGTGAGGTGTGCGCAGTTCGTAGATTCTTTCGCTGCCTAGATTTTGCTATTCGTAGATGTTTTTTAAAGTTGAAATAGAACGCTGTGTACACAGTATTCTTTGAAATTTATTGTTATGTTAATTTATTAAAGCGAGGGGTACATAGTTCATAGATCCTTTTGCTGTTTAGATTGTGCAATTCATAGTGTTTTTAAAGTTAAAACATATCACTGTGTACATGGATTCTTGTCAAATATTTTTGGTTAGAAACTTTGTTTTTGCTATCTGAATTTTTTGTTTTTTGTTTTGGATTTTTAGCTTAAATTGTGTGTTCAAAACAGGGTTTTTGCATGTTTGGCGAGAAATTTGGCGACTTGAGGGCGTATATAAGAGTAGTTCATTTATTTTTAAATATCTGTAATGATTTTGTCAAAATTCTTTTATTTTTTCATTTTCTCTTAATATTTTTTAATTCCAGTATAATTGATACCAGATCTTAACTGGTCATGGAAATTTTAAAAATTACTTTGTGCTTGCTGCAGTGTTATAGAAGATGTAGAATAGTGGTTCTCAACCTTTTGACTGACGCGTACCATCTAAACAAAAATTGAAAACCTTTTGTACAACCACTACAAAGTGCTACCACCACCAATCTTGAACAAAGCTCAGATCGCATAAATTTACAAGTGTTAGAGGAAAAAACTCAATCAGAATGTTGGGATTTAAATTTTTGAATTTAATAGTTAAAAATACTTTACTTACCACCTATTTTTCTCTTGCGTACCACTGGTTGAGAACCCCTGATGTAGAGCATATCTACATCAGGAGCATTGCAAGTTATATATACGCAAGTTCCAAACTGCATGGGGAATTTAAGGCATCTCTGTATTAACAGGCTTCCAATTTTCTCTGATCGTGTCAAGAGTTCTCAGGCTTTTGCTGTCTTAGACAATTTTATTTGTTGTTTTAAACTTTTAGTATTGTTATTTTATGTGTTATTGCATTATCTTTTTATATGTCATTGTATTATTATTGTATTTTACCTATGTATGATTTTTTCATGTATTAATGTATTGCAGTATCATATCTTCTTTGAAATCCTTTATCTCCTTATCCACACATATATATATTAGTATTTTTATAGTTTTATTATTTAATATTAGTATTTTTATAGTTGGAGAGAATCGACTGTCTTTTTACATGTAAACATCTTTCAGTTGTGTCATCGTCTTAATGGTGGAATCGTCTGACTTCTGTCATCGGAAAAGTCAAAGATTTATTATCACAGCTTGTCACGTCATCCGATTATAATGAACGATGCCATCCCACAACTGCTCGTCCATCCTGATGGAATGCGGCCTCGCATTCTCGTAGCACCACCTACATCTAGGGATCTGAAAAATAAAAATTAAAAAAAAAAAAAAAAAAAAATTTTTAGTTACTATTGAGGGAAAAGTCGTCTTAAATGGTTTATTTCAGCCATCTTCCCTTATCATCTTAACATCCTCAGAAATAACGGCGTTAGCTCTTCTTCAACATTCGTTCATCTTTAACAGTCTATCTCAATGCACCTATTTCCCAAACACGTCTTCCTTTTATACTAACTGGAACAATTCATCTGGATTTGTCTTCGTATTTACGTCTTTTTAAACATCGTCTGAATACGTCTTCTGAATGCGTCTTCTTAGATACCATCTGGATACGTCTTCTGAAATGCGTCTTCTTAGACACCACCTGGATACGTCTTCTGAATGTGTCTTAGATACCTTCAAGATCCGTCATTCGAATGTGTCTTCTCAAAATCATCTTCTTTAAGCCGTCTTCCTTCACACATTTCATCCTTAGACATCATCTTCAGTCTTCTTAAATTAGTTCATGTCTTTAAAATAATAGTCCATTAGTGAAATTGGGAGAAATTTGTCAACTTGGGAAAAAGTCTATAATCAGAAATCATCAAAATCGTTATTTCATTATCAAAGATTTTCGATTTTTTTCCTGGGTCTTCTGAATCTGCATTTCCGCTTCTTTTTTCTCACCTTCTTTAGTTTCTTTTGTTCCGTCTTTGCTTTCTGTATCAGCGTCGTTTTCATGAGACTTTTTAACTGACTTCTGCTTTTCAATCTTCTTTTCTTCTTCAGTGGTCTCTGTAGTTTCCTTTTCTCCAGTGGTTTCTTTTGCTTGTCTGTTATCAGATATGGTACTGAAGTTTTTTTAGTAGAATTAGCAATTAATTCGTCATAAACTCTTAACATGAGACTCTTCTTTAGGAACATGCTTCTTTTGAGAATCTCCTTCTTCAGTGGCGTTTTTCCACGTTGGCATCAAAGCTAATTGTATTGTGCTTGAGTTTCCTTTTTGCACTAATTCATCTTCAATAGTATCATTTTCATTTACATCAGAATCTGCATCACTCAGGACGTCATCAGAATTTAAAATCAGGGAAACATTGCCACTAGCTTTGATTGTAGATGAAGTATCCAGTTTGATCATATGCTGTATTGTAACAGGAACTATACTAACAGGATCAGTTTCTGGCTTTGGAAGTAAAAAACCATAATTAACAACTTTTCCATATCCTTCTTCAGAACCATTTCCATTGCAATGAGCATTTTTATGCCCTTCAGAATCATTCTCAGATTTCTTGTTTTCTGCGATAACGCAAATATTTGATCTAAATGAAGAACCATCGATTTCGAATTCACCATCAAATTTTCCTATAGGCTTAATTTTCCCATTACCGAAGCCCGTTAACTGTAGATCTGCCGACTTAAGTTCAGGAGAACCTATCTTCTTATGTATATCTTCTCAGATTAGTGTTACTTGACTACCAGTATCTATTAAAGCATCAATTTGCAAATTACCCAAATTAACAGTTTATCGCATTTCTTTCTGACAAGTCTGAGTTATTGAAATAACAGCTTAGCGAGTGCTTTATTTTGTGTGTTAGTACTTGAATAACCCTTATTTTTCGTATCTGGAACACGAATCTGACCAAACAGAATTAATATCATCATTTTTATTAGAATCATAAACACTTTCGTTTTCAGATAATTCATCACCGTCATCACTTTCAGATTTTAAAAGCTTAAAATCACAAAGACTATTCAATATTAAATCACAGTTTTTATCAGGATTTGAATCATAATTAAGATGTAACAAATTACACACAGAAATAAAATCATTTGCAGTAAGAGTTTTAAGTAATTTTTGTTTTGTTTCTTCAATATTAAAATCAGATGGAAAACCACAAAAGTTAAGCAATCTAGCTCTATTTTTTCGATCACCCAAAGTTCCAAACACAGTTTGATGTAAAAGTTTAATTGACTTAGTAGGCCCAGTCTTTAAAGAGTTTGAAATTCTAGGAATAGAATTTAAGGTAGTCATCTTAATTCACAGTATCATAGAACACTATTCTTAGAAGTAACAATGTGGAAATAATCAAAACAAAACTTACTTCTCTTCTTTTGTAATATTCATCATGCTTCTTCCTAGGTTCATCGCGGCCTGAGCGCCCAAATCTGTAGAATCGGTACTTACTGTCTAGGAATATGATGTTTGTAAACTTACTTCTTAGGGCTAATAAACTAGTCCGATTTAAGCTACACAATTTAAAACTTTTTATGAATTTGAAAATAATTATTCCTCATATATTGTAGTGTGTGAATTTATTCTTCTATTGCAAACTATAATAATAACAATGTCAACTTTTTTTAATTCTTCAGATTTCACTATGATATTTAAAAATATTTACTAATTATGTTTTCTTTTCCAAGAGAATGTTTATTTTATTATTTTCCCCCTCTCCCCTTTTTTAAAGTAAAGTATATCATTTTTTTCCCAAGTATTTATTAAAAGTCATAATCAGCTTACTTTTTGTACTCGTATGTGCTAACTGCTATATTTTAAAAGATAGTATGAAAAATTGTGTATCTTTGTAAAAATATGTCATTTCTTTTTAGAGGTTGAAGAAGATTTTCTGGATCCTGAAGATCTTGGAGCAAAAATTGAGGATTATATCCTTTTTTCATTCTACGTATACCATTTTGTTGTTTTTTTTTACCTACTATAGTTAATATATGCTGCGTTCTGATTATTTAGTAGCTTAAAATAGGATGAAATTATATTATTAATGAATAACTTTTACTGATTAATGTAAGTTTGAGATTGTTTATATTTTGTGAAAACTTCATTGGTGTTATTAGGTTGTCCAGAAAGTAATGCAGGTTTCTAACCTATATCTTTAAAGTATCATAACTCAACTCAATAAGAGTTTTATTAATAAGCACCAGCCGAATCAATGCATTTTTGCTAATGAGGCCAGTAGAATAAAATTCTGGAGTTCTGGACACGATAAAGTTGTCAAAGGCATTTTTGGCCTCGTCTTGGTTTCTGAAGCATTTCTTCTGCAAAATGTTATTAAGGTGTTTGAAAAAGTGATAATTGGTCAACAAGAGGTCAGGTGAATATGGGGGAAGAGGGAGTGTCTCGTATCCCACTTCATTCAATTTCTGTAGGGTCAATTGCACGATGTGCTGCCGAGCATCGTCGTGGAGAAGAGCTGGTCTCTTTCTGTTGACCAATGCCGAGCACATGCGTTGCAATTTTTGGTGCATTTCGTTGATTTGCTGACAGTAGTTATCTGTCTTAATCGTTTCACCCAGATTTAGGAAGCAGATGAGACCGGCCGCAGACCACCAAACAGTCACCATAATTTACTTTTGGTGGAAATTTGGATTTGGAAAATGTTGTGGTATCTAACCGTGGTCCAACCACTGAACCAAATGTCGCTAGCTGTTAGAGAGAATCCTCTTTTCATCGCATGTAACAATTCAATCAAGAAAAGGGTAGTTTTTGTTACAGAGAAGAAGAGCAGACAACACTTCAAAACGGTGAATTTAAAAAAAATTTCGCTCAGTTTGTGAGGCACCCACTTATTGAGCTTCTTCGACTTTCCTATACAATTTAAGTGATCAGAAATCATTGTTTTGCTTATGCCAAGCTCTCGAACAGTTGTGCATGGATTTGTTTCAACTAAAGTCTTCAAATCGTCATCATCAACAGCTGAAGAGTGTCCACGACGCTCTTGATCTTCCAGGTCAAATTCTCAATGCTGAAACTTTTGGTACCACCATTGAACTATAGATTCATTAACACTTTTCTCGCCCCATACTTTGTTGACATTTCGAGCCGTTTGTGCTGCGCTGCGGCGTAGCTCGTTCTCCTGAAAGTAAATTTGCCGAAAATCTCGTTTAGACATCAAAAACATCTAGTAAATATTTTTTTAAATAATTTTGGAACAAAATAATTATTATAGAAATATAGAGCGAAAATAGAGCTTCAAAATGATATATAAACCAATGTAATTCAAAATTTTTTTGATGCTAAAAATGCACAGGGAAGATAAACAATTGCAGAAACCTGCATTTTTTTCCGGCAAACCAATATAAGTAGAAAATTTGAAACTCATCTTTTTTAATTTGATGTTCTTAGAACATGTTTTGGCAACATGCTACTTAGAAAGACGTAATTAAGTGTTGTAAATTGAATGGCTGTCTACATTGAAAATAATTTCTTACTTTTTAAATATTAAGTTAATTCGAAGTCAAACAACAAAAATGCATACCTAAAATTAGTTTCGAGGGTTTTACCGAACCATCATCTTCATGCAAAACCGCAAATGAATATTCATCATTCATTTGCGGTTGAAGATGATGGTTCGGTAAAACCATCGACTAGTCTGTGAAATTTTGTAGGTATACGCTGATTTTTGTTGTTTGACTTCTGAATAGTAATTATTCGGGTGTTATTGTGTTTAATTAGAAGTTAAGGTTATCAAAAAGAACATTTTCTTTTTTAAAGTAGTCAATTTGTTACATAGTTTTTATTTAAAAATGAATTAAAGATAAAAATTAAGGGTATGCTACATTTTCTAATACTCTGGAAATTGTTTGACAGACTGTAAGATAAATTACTGTTTCTAAGTAATTATATTACTAAAATCTTTTAAGATTCTAAGTCCTAGATTATAATCAAAATGTATTTTAGGATTAAATTGCTATTATGTCACAAAGCAAATTGAATATTGTGAAGCTATAAACATCTTGCTGCATTTAATTTATAGGAAATGTCAAGTATTTAAAAATTTAAATTTAAAAGTTCTTGAAAAATTCATCTAACAGACTTTGAAGCATCCTGAATGCTTTAAAAGTAGAACTCTTGCAGATATTAATTAATTAGAGTCTAGAATTTTGTAATTCTACAGCCATTTTATTGAAGAAAAAATTCATAACTTACCAATTATCATTACGAAATTGATTGCTGTTTTGTCTGATAAAATGTTTGTAATTTAAATTAATGTTTTACTTCCCAGAGGCACTTTAAATTTGAGTTAATATTTTGGATAATAATCAGTGTAACCTCTGAAAAATGAGTTTCCTTTTGGGTCATTTTGTATGTTTTAAGCGGTTTATGTTATAATCTTTAACATATAACACGTATATTTGAAGAATTTGGTGATACAAATACTAAGTATAAAAACAGAATTCGTAGCAGAGTTGCTAATTTGAAGGATACTAAGAATCCTGGATTGCGTGCGAATGTTCTGAAAGGAATTATTTCACCTGCAAAAATTGCTGTAATGACAGCTGATGTAAGTATACTTTTTCTTTCTCTCCTATCTTTTTTTAATCCAGTATGTACGTAATAGGTATCCAAAAGTAAGTTCTGGTGGTAAATATTTTTATTCCTATGTTTTGTGCTAAATTTCTTCATTTGCTTTTAAGAATTCATTAGTGCTATTTTTTTTGGTAGTCTTCCATTGTATACAGTGGCTCCCAATAGTGTTCGCATGCTTACGACTTTCAGTGAAATATTGCTTTAATCATTAACAAAAATTAATATTTTAGAATGAGAATTTTAAGTAATATCTATAAATTTCTGTTAGTAAAACTACATTAATTATTAAGAACATAGTAAAACTTTTTTGTTTTAAAATCAGTAATAAAAAAGTAACAGAAGAGTTACCTCATCAGAGTTACCAACTCTCCCGATTTAGGCGGGAGACTCCTGATTTTCGACCACTCTCCCGCCAACCCGATTTACAATATATTTCTCCCAACTTTTTCTTATTCTTAAAATTTCTCATGATTTTTATGGAACTTGGCTTAATACTTTGTTATATGAACAAAAAAAAAAAAAAAAAAAAAAAAAAGAAGTGATTTTGGACGTCTGAAAGCAATTGAATTTTCTCTAGATTATATCTAAAGCAAAACCTTGCGAATCAGATAACTTCTGCTTTGTGAGTGAGAGCATATATGTATCCAGAAATGTCATTCTCCAGTTCTCCAATAGGCATCGAAGATAATTTCTTACTTTTTAAATATTAGAAATTAAGGTTACCAAAAAGTACATTTTCTTTTCTAAAGTAGTAGTATTTTTGTAGTTTAAAGTTTTTTAAAGTGGCTAATATATGCCAGATGCGTGTCATTAGCCAGATGACACGCATCTGGCATATATTAGCCAATGAGGACAAAGCAAGCTGTTATTTGGGTGTTCTTTAGTTATTTCATTCATTTTGTCCTGAGTTGTGTGAGTACATGCATCTTCAAGAAATAGTTTTAGAAATTATCATCTTTTGTTATGTCTGCGAGAAAGGTGAAATACTCGTGTACGTTTCAAAAATCGTACGCAGTTGGCTTTCCTTCCATTATTTCCTCAAGGAAATGTAATAAATTTGCGATGTGTAATGCCTGTGGTTGCGATTTTTCGATTTTGCATGATGGAAGGGCAATGTTCTCAAACATGTGCGTACACAAAAACACAAGGACAACATGAGTTGTTTTGAAGAAAACAAAAAATTAAATTTTTCTTTGAAATAAAGGACCAAAAACTTATTAATGCAGAATGTCGGTTCTCTGCCTTTTAACTGGAGCATAACCTGCCACTGAATGCATCGGATCGCCCTGCAGCTTTATTTAGAAAAATGTTTCCCGATAGTGAAATTGCTAAGAAATACTCAAGTGCAATTGTTAAAGAAATGGGTTTGAAAAATAAATCTTCAGTTATTGATTGCATTAAAACAGCTCTGTTCTGCCTCTCTACAGATGGAAGCAATACTCTCTACAGATGGAAGCAATACTGATTCAAAACTGTATCCAATTGTTGTTTCTTTTTTTAATCCAGAGTCTTCAGAAATTGAGTGCAGTTTTCTTTCTGTCCCCACTTTAAAAGGACATTTGACAGGCTTTAATCTAGCACAGCTAATTATTAAAACTTTAAAAGAAAATGCAGTCCGTCTGGATAATTGCTTAGCACTTGATGCCGATAATGCACCACTATTGGTAGGCTTGGAAGGCTGGTGTTGCAGGCATCTTAAGAAAGAAAAATTCAGATTTGCAGATTATGAGGTGCACCTGTCAGCTCTTAAATTTAGCAGCTTCTTTACCGATAAATGTGGATGAACACATTGTTGATATTTGTTATTATCTTGAAAGGAGTTCTAAAAGGAAGGGAAAATTGAAACAGTTCCAACAGCTGCATAACAGCAGTTTACAATTAGAAAACTTGAATGAAGTTATAAAATTAACTAAGATTGGCACCCAGTGGAGTTTAATTGGAAAACTGAAAGGTGTTGATGGAATTTTAAAATATAGTAAACTGGCTAGAATTATGTTTGCCATCTTGACAGTTCCCCATAGTAATGCAGAGTGTGAGAGGATTTTCAGTGTTGATGCGAAACTGAGGACTAAATTTAGATCTAATATTAGTGATGACACATTAGAAAAACTTAATAGCAAAAGCAGGCGTATGTGGCAATTACTATGAACAAAATTATAAAGTTTCTTTCTTAAAAAGAAAGCAAAATCTGCCACTGTTTATAACATTTGTATAAGAACTGATTAAAGTGGTTTTTTTTTTTTTTTTTTTTTTTTTTTTTTTTGTGTGTGTGTGTGTGTGTGTGTGTTTTTGTTTTCTTAAATGATGCAAGTAATAAAAATGTTGTTTTTTTTTGTGTGTAAGGTGTTATTTTGTTGCTAGCATTTAAGAATTAGTTACTATTTAAAGTTAATTCTTTATTATAAACTATATTTTTATCATTTAAAAAAGTCTTTTTAACATTGTGAAAAGTATCTTGATTTCTTAAAAAAATCTCCTTATTTTTGAGTGTCATAGGTTGGCAAGTATGCCTCATAAAAGTCTTTGTATAATTAAGACACAATAACATGCCGAATAAATACTAATTCAGAAGTCAAACAACAAAAATCAGCATTATATTTACAAAATTTTCACAGGACTAGTTTCGATGGTTTTACCGAACCACCATCTTCAGCTGCAAAACTGCAAATGAACAAGATAGGAAATAATGATTAGATAAGATAAGGAAGCCTGGACAAGAATAAGCAAGTGGCGCCATCTGATGGTGAAACCATTATTATGTTATGTTTTAGTTCTGGTTTTGCCAACAGATGGCGCCACTTGCTTATTCTTGTCCAGGCTTCCTTATCTTATCTAATCATTATTTCCTATCTTGTTCATTTGTGGTTTTGCAGCTGAAGATGGTGGTTCGGTAAAACCATCGAAACTAGTCCTGTGAAAATTTTGTAAATATAACGCTGATTTTTGTTGTTTGACTTCTGAATTAGTCTTTGTATGCTTTAAAGAAATTGCACATATTAGTTAATATTTTAGTATTTTATAGGATATCCTGTAGCATTTATCTAGCATTTTCAAATGTCTGGGCACAGAGTTCACCAGTTTTTTTTTTTTTTTTTGTAGTATCTGCATCAGCGACTCTCCATTCGTTCATCATTACTGTTTTTAGTTCGGTTTTTGTTTTAGAGTTGTTTTTTTGTACTCTAACCTTTAATTATCTCCAAATGTGTTCTGTTTAGTGTAAATATGGGGACCAAGGTGGTGTTTTCAATACTTATGGACAGTTATAGACACACCAAAGGTGAACGAATGTTGAGGGCTGCATGCTTAGGATCGTTAGCTTGATAAAAAATAAAGTTGTTTCCAATATTCAAATATTAGGTGGATAATTTTAAATTATCTTTTAAAATATTTAAATAAAGAGTGAGGTTTATTATGCTATCAATAAATACTAAATTATTTAATCGTGATATGCACCCTCGCACAAGGACACCTCCACCGTCATGCTTTACTCTTTCAACCAAGGTCTTGAGATTAAGTTTATCGTTTTTTTCTTCCCTCCATACAATTATATGCCCATAAAAACTGGAAATGTTAAATTTGCTTTCATATGCAAATGAGACATGATTACAATATGTTTTGGGCTTATATACCATTGATTTTGTGAAGAAAAGTCCAAGCTTTCTATTTTTTGCACTTAACAGTTGATCTGAGTACTCGTTGAACAGTTTCAAGTGAAATTGAAGTAGAAAATTTTTGAGTAAATTCTGTATAAATCGTAACATCACCCAAACGTAGATTTTTCACAACTTGTTTAACTATAAATCTCTGATCACGTTGAAAGTCCTCTTTGCTGGACAACCTCATTTTATATTAGGTCTGAATTTCTTCTTGAAGCATTTTATCACATTTTTTATTTATGAAATTTTACGAAAATGTTTCTCTGTACAATCAATTAAGTGGAGTTTAATCTATGCCTCCTTACATTTACAATTTTAGAAAAAAAGTCAGTATTCAAAATTGAAAAGTTTAGTTTTATTCAAAATCACATGATATGTAAAAATATTGGGCTTTATATTCAAATTCCATTGTGGGTTCCAGCACTTTTTCTATAAATTCTTAAAATGTGCAAACACTTTTGGGAGCCACCATATATTTTCTGGTGTGCATTTATAACACCTAAAAATTGAGTTGTTCATCATATGTGAAATTTGGTCTGTTACTCACTTCTTAAAATCATGGAGAATTCAGTTGGCATAAAAATGCATTGGCAAATTTTTTAAGTTTGTGGATCATATGTATTAAGCACTCAAAGTACAAAGATAGGTAACCTTTTTTTTATAAAGGATGGGAAAATGTGTGCAGTTGTACATGGAATGGATAGCTCTCTTTAATAATAAACTTAGTGTATTTCATTTGAATAGAAGATTCAATAGAACATGCAATTAAATATGATTTGTTACTATATGTTTCCCAGATTTTTGTGCTGTTACTTTCTTTGTTTAAAAAACAAAAAACAAACAAAAAAACAAAACAAAACAAAAAAAAAAAAAAAAAAAAAAAAAAGGGGGGGGACTGTCAGAATTTACATTTAGTCTAGATGCTAAAGTTTTATGAACAGCACTGGTTCAAATCTCTTAAGAGGGCATCATTAGATGTTTAGAATATCCATTACCATCCTGAGGAACATATGATTTTTATACTAATGTAATTCAGAAATACTCTTAATTTTTCCAAACTTCCACCCCTCCCTTTTTCTTAAAAAAAAGAAAAAAACATTTATTTGTATTACTAAAAGTAGGTGTGCCACTTTAATCGTGAGTGAAAAAGGAGAATGAAAGGAAAGTTCTTTTAACAAAAAATCAACTATTTGTCAAAATAAATGAATCTTCACAAAGTGCACTTTGATTATCCGGTATAACCTGTTGTAATGTGTGAATATTTGTAAAAGGCCTAATTTCTTTTATATAATTAATTTTTATGGTAGCCTTTTCTGTATATAAACTTTTAATATTATTCCATCAGCGTTAAATTAGTTTTTGTGAGAGTAGAATTTAGAATAAATTTATTTTTCATGTTCTATATTTAAAGGAAATGGCAAGTGAAGAAATGAAAAAACTGAGGCAGAAATTTACAAAAGAGGCAATCAACGATCATCAAATGGCTGTTACTGGTGGAACAAAAACTGATTTATTGAAGTGCGGAAAGTGCAAGAAAAGCAATTGCACATACAATCAGGTAATATTATATGTTATCACATAGTCATATTAATAACGGAAGTATTAATTGTTGTTTATAATTGTTATAACATTTATTTATATCATAATTTTAACTAACCAAGAATTTGAATATCCAGGTTTTTAATTTCTATGGAAATTTTGGCTCAAATTCTATTATTTCCTGTGCACCCTTCCTCAAGAGATAGCACATCTATAATATAATATGTGCAGTCAAATTAGATATCCATTTGCTTCTGTGTAGCAGGCAGAAGCATTTCAAGACATAGAAATGATGTAATTTAAATTATTTTTTCCTTCTCATGCACAAGATCTTAATTCTGTGCTCTTTATATAAAGTATGCCTTTATTAAATTTAATTCAGCTTAACTTATTTGGCATCTGCTATTTATTGAATTTTAAATTTTGGTGTATTTTTACCAAAAGAATATGGCAAAGAAAAATTAATTTTTTAAACATTATTTGGTAGATTTTTATGTGCCTCTCTTCACCTGAAATTGGTTAGTGTAATTTCCTCAAGATTTAGTTGATTAACTTTTTTTTTTTTTTTTTTAAATATTCATGTAAATTGAGTTTTAATTTTATTCTTTATTTTTCTTTGCTGATTATTTAAAAAGGAATATAATTTATGTTTTCCTTCCTTTTCTCTTAGTATTATCCTTTGGGACTTGGGTATTTTCTTAAAACATTAATGATCATACAGGAATATATGTACATGCTTAATTCCTCAGTTAGCAAAGTAACACCCTTTTAGATATTATTCATATTAGAAATATGTATATAAAGCATAGTCTTTTTGTTTTTAAACCATCATTATATTGCACTACCAAATCATTTGCCATCGATAGACTCTAGCAGGTGTTTCCTTCTATAGGCATGAGGTGTAAGATCTGTCTTTTTCGTCCTCATGGTTTAGCATAATTCTAACTCTTAGTTTGACTGTAAGCATATATTTGAATGTAGTTTTTGATTTTCTAGTTATTGTGAGGGGGGATCTGCTCTATAAATATGACACGTAACAGTAAAAGCCCCCCCCCCAAGTTTTTAAAGTATGTCTCAGAGTTTCAATTATTATTTATTTATTTCATTCGATGTTCTTGATTGATGGCTGAATATTAAATAATATTTTAGGTACAAACAAGAAGTGCTGATGAACCCATGACAACTTTTGTGTTTTGCAATGAATGTGGACATAGGTGGAAGGTAAGAATTTTATCTTTGGTTATCTATAGATATTAGGAATTATTTAAAATGGGGAAAACTATTTTTTCACTGTGCAATTTTGGAATTTTTACATGGCTGAATAAATACATATTTCTGAATCATAAAAATGTAATGTAACCATTAAATAGATAAATAAACTTTACATTTTTATTTTGAACTAAATATGATTTATAATAACTTTGTTTATATATTTATCTGTCAGTCAGCTTAAAATTCTCTGCTTGTAAACATATTGGTACTTACGTATTTGCAACTTGCGTATTATTAGTACTTGAGTACTTGCGACAAATGTGAGAGTTAGTTACCATGAAATTGGGCTGAGATCCCATCTCCTGGAGAATTCCGAAGAATCTGATACCTCTTTATTTTATAAAAAATTAGTGTTTCATCATCTTTGTTTTTGACCTTTAAAAGGCTTTTATGGATTTTTTCTATTTTCCGATTTTACCAGAAGTTCTGTTTAGAATGCTGTGAGTACAAACTTCCTGCGGTTAACAGTTCCAATCTGTAACTGTTTTTGCTGTTCATATCATATCCATTGTTCATTAAAACAAAAAGTGGTTAGTAAGTCATAAAGAGTGAACTGTGATTTTGTATGTTTATATTATCCATATTTGTCAGTTTTTATGAATTTAAAAAATGTTTATATAAAAAGTTGTTCCAGTGTTATGATTTTATGCACATGGTTTATTTTTTGCAAGTTTTATATCATCTATGTAAAGATCCCAAATCTATGCAGATATGATGATTATCTCCAAGGCTATATTTTAGGAACATATTATTAGCAAATTCTAGTATTAGGGTTATAAATTATAAACTGTGTTTAGCTTGGGAATGTTTGATTTGTTGATTTGCAAATCTCAAGTTCTGAAAACTGTATTAGCCATATTTAGCAGCAGTTTGGAATGTGAATGCATTTTTTTGGGCAGAAAATTGTTCAGAAAAAATAGTTATTTGTTGGGAAAAAAGCCAGGATGGAGAATGAGGCACAATTTGTGCTCCAAATTTAGAATTTTTTATTTGGTTATTACCATATGTGTTCAGTGTTATCTTAAAGTAGTATAGCTATTTTTTTTTTTTTTTTCCACAAATGGGAGTCGCTTAAGGTTATTCTTCCAAAATGTTTTGGATATGTAATACGACCTTAATGAATAATATCAGCAGGAGACTGGCATACAATGAATAACATTCTTGGGTTCAGAAGTGTATTTGAAGTCTTTTTTGGAGTGTACCCAACCACAGCAACAAATGTGTACAATTCGGGTAAATGATTCACTTCTCGCCCGCACTTATTAATTCATTAGATGTACCTTTATTCTTTGCTTCTTCTCAAAGAGAAAAGAGCACTCTTCCAAATGCTGCATTTTGATTTCATGAGCGAGTTTGTTAGGCATCCACTTGTTGAGCTTCCTTTTGCTGTTATTGCCAAGTACTGTAAAGCAACTAAAAATGTGCATTATGTGTTTGGGCAATATCTCGTATAGTTTATTGTGGATCTGGTGTTATAAAATACTTTAATTAATTTATTCAGATTAATAAAGTAAACGACTACAGCATTTATTTTGTAACCTTGAACCCTCCAGAGCAAAATTTTGTGAACTAACTGTAAGTTTATTTCTTTTTAGTTGTTCTGCTACCCAATGCTTTACTGAAGTTTTTTTATTGCAGCTGCTGCAGAATTTTCTAATTTTAACTCCTAAAGTTTTAGCACCTGAATGGATTTTGTTCCTGTGATTGACTTGATGCCAGTAGTATTTAGTATTAAATGTTCAGTGAATGAAAAAAAAAAATACTATGTTTGCGTTTCCCACTTGCAGTGATGTCATATGATGATGTAAAAAAGTTGCATAAACATCAGCACTTGCTTTCTTCCCTAACTAGTAGAAACCTGATCTTACTCAATGGCCATTTCATTTGCAGTAACCCAAAACATTGTTGCAATGCTCGTCTTCTGTGAAAAAATAGAAGGCTTATCTTTTTTTATAATGTAACATATTCTGAAAAGCCACCATATTTCAACAAATTACTAAATCAGTTCTTCCTATTCAATATGATGGCTAGTGGAAAAACTGCCTGCCCTGAATGATGTGGGAGAGGTTTTGATTTGGGGTGAATATATGAATGCTTGTGAGAGTCATGTTTCATGGGCTAAAATGTCATAATGAATACAGTACAAAGTCCGAAATCTGGACGTCTACTATTCGGAATGATCTAAATTCCTGACCAGAAAACCACCACCACCGTTTTTCTTGTAGGCTTTATGCATGTACATTTAATTCCCCCCTCCGCGCATAATAAAACATCTGGAGAGTCCTGATTCTTAATTTAACCTCGACACTAAATAAAATACCTTGTTATTGAAGAAACAATCATTTCAGCATAAATTTGTACGATCAGTAATTTGGCTTCATTGCTGCATATCTGCTTGGCATACATCTCAAACCGAAACATTCTACATATATATATATTCCTGTTTGATCTGACATCAACCTGGCGAATCATTATTTATTATACTTTCCGTTCATCACCGCATGTTTATCAAAACATGACAAATTGAGTAATGACTCATGTTGCGATGCCTAAACAATTTTTTTTTATGTTAGTAATTGAATAATAAAGGAGTGTGGCAAGCTTTTGTGTTGACATTACACTTGGTGATGATTACAGATTTAAATTAAATGCGCTAAAAATTTTTGAGGGGGGGGGGGAATTTTGCTGAAAATGTCTTCTCATAAGCTAAAAATAGGTTTTGTTGATGATACTCATAAACCCAAAGATTACATTTAGGGCTTTAAGAATTAAGAATAACTGATTTGTTATTCACATAAACCCAGACCAGCTCCAGGGCTCGTATGGCCGCATCAAGTCGCAGAATTTAGGACCCACAGAGACTGCATCAGGTGGTAAGATATCTAGTGCTGGCCCTCAATAAGCGTCTTAAGTATATGTGTGGGAATTTATTTATTCGGGAACTCTGATAAGCATTAAGCATGTACAAGAAATAGGACATAAGTATAATAAATAACTAATACAATTCAGGCTTAATTGTCTCTCAGTGTGCGATAGAAGCAAGATAAAATTTAACAGTAACAACTTGTCATTAGTGGCCGCCGTAATAGCATAGCCAGATATGTATATGAACGATAGCTAAATTTAATGATGATAGCGGCTAATTTTAAAGGTTTTTGGATATCGCAAAACAAAGGTGAAATTTTCCAATTAACGGATTTTGTAAAGAAATGTGGAGAAGCGGTAATAAATGAAGATGATATAAAAGAAGGTTTTCATTATGATGGCAATGCTTCTCAATCATCAATCAATTAATGAATGGCAAAATCTGTAGTATGGTTCTAGATCCAGAAAATACTGCTACCGATAGTGAAGAAAGTGACAGAGAAGTTACTGAAAACGAGAAAATTTCGATTGGCAGTTAGTTGAAATTCTCGAAATAACAGCTACAGGACTTCAACAATGTAGAACAAGAAATTATGTCTGTCTACAGAATTAAAGATAAAGTATTAGCACAAAAAACGAAGCAACTTATACGACTTACATTGAAAGAAATGTTTAATAAGGTAAACCAAAAAATAAATATTAAGGTTTTTTTTTTTGGTAAATTTTGATACCCTTTAGATTATAAATACTTCATTATTTCATAAATCATGATTTCATATTTTTTTCGGACTTTGTACTGTATCATATGCACTCATTTCTTCCAGCAAAAATTCATGTTCACACTTTGGGCATAAGATTAACAAAATCTGCTACTCTGTATTTCTTTGTTCTTATGTTTCTTTATGAGATCAATTTTTTTATGTGTTAGTGTTTCCATCTTCATTCTCCTCTTTGTTTAGCATGATTAAATATCAGTTACTTGAGATTCCTGCTTATTATGTTGTCCAAATTAATATAATGTTTACTAGAGGCTGGCTGCCATGCTGAAGGCTTCTATATTATTAAAGATTTTAACATTTGTTATATATATAGCAAGGATATATTTTTTTATATGTAACAAGGCTATATTTGTTATATAATATGTTACATTAAGTAATAAGCCTATGTTGAATGTTGAAATAGTTTCCTGCATGTTATATTTAAATACAAAGTAATGATTTAAATATGTAAAATACATTATAGATGCAATAAAAAGTACACATTGTGTAAAAGAAAGAAATTCTGAATGAAACCTTATCTAATAGCTGTAGATAAAATTCATGTCATATGGGAAGATTTTCAAATCACTGTTTATTAGGTTAAAAATAAGCTAACATTTAGTTTGTTACTTAAACCATTTTAATGTAAAATGGATATATAATATGCATGTTTATATGTTGTAAAAGTATATGCCCTAGTTTTAATTAAGCCATCTTGATTTTTGGATAGAAATTTTTTTAATATGTAAAAATTTTCCTTTTAAATTCTTTATTTTCCATGTATATGATGTGTATTAATACAATGTTTTTTTAATAATTTATAGTTTTGCTGAGTACATTAGTTTTCTCAGTATGTGATGTATCAAAGCATGGCAAGTAGGACATCAAGTTTTATTCTTGTCTAGTGTAAATAAGCTTTTTGATGTCGCCACCTTGCAGAAATTCTCATCCTGTTAAAAACTGCATCCTCATCATCACTGTAATTATAAAACTGATGTTTGTAAGAACTCTTTTTGCAATTTTTTTAAACTATGTTGCATAGTATTCGTTAAATTTCCATGTTGACTATTATAGTTATTTCCTGACGAATTATGTATCACATGGGTGACATTGGTTACTGTTAAATGTACTCTAAGAATATAACGAAGCATCCAAATGTAGAAGTCTCGGATGAAGTTTGAAAGCTTTATGTGAATATTTGTAGCAAAATTATTATGTTATTAAATGCTCTTTTATCATAATGATTTTGTATATTATTAATATACTGAATTTCTATTATATATTTAACTACTGGTAATGGTTATTTTCTGATTTTTTCTATAAATAGAACCCATTGTATGCCATAATTTCTTAAAATCAATAATTAATAAATTAATATGTTATACACACATGTTTATTCAGTTATATTGGAAAGTCTTTATAGATAATATATATATATAAGCTGAATGTTAATTTTTAATGAGAATTATTTAAAAAATAATTATCGCTTGTTTCAGAATTAAAAATATTTCTGTTATTAATGAAAGTAATCAGTTTGTAAAGCACACAGAGCACTTGAATATTATGCTAACATAGTATAAACAAGGAGGCGTTACAGTTTATAAACTTTGTTTTAAAGAAATACAAAAATTAAGCCTTTATTTCATAATTAACATATGAGAGAGATTGATGAGTACTGTCCCAAAATGTATAAAAATACATTTATGGTGGTAAGAAAATGAGTTCTGCATAGAATTATGAAAACTTAGTTATTTTAAATATCGCTTTTTTTTTTTTTTTTTTTTTTTTTTTTTTTTTTTTGACTTAATGCTATGTAGTATGTCATACATTTTTCAAAATATACATTTTCCTGTTCCATTAATGGAGAAAAGTTTGTAGTTATGTGTGCAGTTTCTGCACAGTAATTGTAACTTCAGTTAAAAAAGGCTGACTTAATTTCTTGTTGTTTTGAGAACAACCAAAAATCGGACAGTACCAAATCTGATATGTGAAAAAGATGTAAAACTAGTATAAATTTCATATTTTTCATTGTACTAATCTTTGTACTGCACAGTTCAGAAGTTGTACTTAAGACCAACTGAGCAAAAGGTCAAGGAAGTTGGAAGTTAAACATTGAAATGAATCTTGAGTTCATCCACACTTGACCATTGCATCTATCAATTTTTAGCATCACTTACTAACAACACCATGCAGTTAAATACCTTACTTATCAATAAACTGAAATAAAATTATATCTTGCATAATTTGGTGCAAACACGCAAAAGCTGTATTGCATTGACCTTTAGTATTCTACATATAATAAAAGGCCTGAATTTATAATTCTGTGGTGCTTGCAATTAACTTCAAACAGGGTTGCCCCGCTGCCTGGAAACCGTAAAGTCAAGGAATTCGAAAACTGAACAGAAAAGTCTGGGAATTTCATATGGCAATACCCCCAAAAACGAGGTTTGTGCCTACGAAGCGATCACTTTCTTGGTGAATTGTGTATCTCATGAGTATTATTCAGGCAGCTGGTGGAACCAATTTTCGCAGTTCCAATCAGATTGTCTTTAAAAAAGGCAAAGCAGGTTGGCAGTAACCTCGAGAATTGACAAAACCGTTCCTAGTGGGGGTGCAGCACGTAAAGGTATGTGGGCGGCTGGACTCTCGCGATACCGTGCCTAAATATTTTATATTCATTGTAACTACTTGTGTTGTAACTGAGTATGAAATAAAATTTTTATTAATCAATGAGCATTTTTTTTTTTTTTTAAATTTTTGAGACAGTAATCTTATGTATGTACATTGCATGTTGAACTAAAGAAAATACCTTCCCATTATTGTATAAAACAAAATCGGTTTAATCCTGTATACGGTATGCACGGGATTTGGCAACATTATGGTGAGCCATAAACGGGTCATTTTGGTGTTGGCGACAATTTTCAAAATCGTGCCAAGGTCATAGCATATAACTAGGATTTTATTGCAAAATATTTTAAACTTCCTTTTTTCTTTCTAATAGGTGCCTTATATGTCATTTTGTAGTAAAATAAAAAAAAATTAATAAAACTATATTCGTCAAAATATTGCCGATTATTGTAATTCAACTTTTAAGTAATTAACTTTATTTTAATGTTATTCGTATTATTTAATGTGGCTTTTCCCTCTAAATTTATTTATTTGTTAGTTAATAATACTTTCAAATTTGAGCCAATTTTCTCTGGCATAATCCTGACTCTAATTCTAGCAGTATGATGACATGCTATCACGAAATTTATTGCACATATTTTTTGCTTATGTATGCTGCTAAATAAATATAAAATAAATGAATCTTTCATTTAGCTGCAAAATGTCTCCACAAAAAGACTTTTTTTTTAAATCCAGATTGGGCAGATTCTAATCTCAAACTTTAGTGGAAAAAATAGCTCCTATTATAGTTATAATAATAATGCTTTGGGGTATGTCATATGTAATTTGCAAATTTTTGTGTTTTCAAGTGTTTTGCTTTGGGGTATGTCATATGTAATTTGCAAATTTTTGTTTTCAAGTTATAATTAATTTCTCTCAGCACAGCCAAAGGGCACTATGCAGACAAACTGGAATTTTTGAAAAAACACCTGGAAAAGTTGGGGAATTTTATTCTCCTCTTTGAATGGCAACCCTGTTGAAATTATAGTTATTCATAAATAAAATATGGTACCTCTTGAATCTTCTGAAAAATGACAAAATAAGAAGCATAATAATTAGAATAAATAGTTCACTAACTTAGTAAAATAGTAAGTTAGTGAACTAGTGAAGTAAATAATGATTTAATAATAGTCTAAGCCTATATATAGGAATTCACTTTGCAAAAATTCAGTGCATTCAATTCTGGTGTATTATTATGCAGGAGTAGCTCATTGTAGACCTGATGCAATGCAGGGTTGATTTTAATGTGAAATATAGAAGTTTTGAATCATTAAGTTTTATTTAAAATCTACATATTTATCCTGATATATAAATCTTATTTTATAACCATATATGATTCCAGTTATTATTATTTTCATGTATTTTAATATTTTCTCTTGTAAGTTTTGTAGCACATTTTAAGTAAATTATTTGGTTAGAAGTGATTTATAAACATTTCATGTCCGAAAAATAATAAATGCTGAATTTCCTTTCATGGATTGATTAAAAATTGTGTTTGTGTTAAAATGTTATTGCACTTAAAAAATTAATATTCACATATTTATAGAAAGTATTTAGTTATATTAGGCATCCGTTTATAAGAATGCCTACATCTAAAAAGCTTCTTTTTGATGAATATTAAAATTGTTTTATTATAAGTAAAATGTCTATTTTTAAACATGGTATCATAATCTCAATAATATTATGAACTGTAAGAATCAAATGAAGTAAGTTCTTTTTGATGCAAAACAAAGAATAATTATATCTTATTGATGATAGTTATGGGTGAACAAAAAAATACATAATTTATGCATATTATACAAACAAACAGAAAATGTAATATCTCGTATACAATTGAGTTGTTTCAATAAGGGTATGGTTTTTCCTGATCAAAAGCATTGTCATGTAATCAGTAAAGTTATCAATGAGGGACTGGGGTGCTTCTGTCGAAAAGCTGAATTATTTCTGAGGTTTAAACTGCTGAATTGTTTCTGAGGGTCATAAGCAAATAGCAACCCTTCTCCCTAGATTGCCCCAAACATGTTCCATTGGATTCTTATCTGGGAAGCGTGATGGCCGATCCGTTCAAAGGATTCCTTCATCAAAAAGGAAATTGTTAACTAGTTGAGCACGATTTGGCACACCATAATGAATATCTCTGATTGCTGTAGCATAAAGGACCACAATAGGTCTGAGGATCTTATCTCTATATCCTTGAGCCGTTGGTACTCCATTCCTGATAATGTACAGGTCAGGGCAGTTATTGATAGAAATACTGGCCCAAACATCATTCTGCGTGTGCCAAATCTGACAATTCCATGCACAAATGCAGGAATATTCTGTATACCAGGTACTCTCCAGGTGAGAATCCGTCTATTCACATGTTGTATATTAAACTGGTACTTTTCTGTGAAGAAAGTGTTGTTCCACTCATCTTGTCCATGTCTCAGATGCTCCTATGCCCCCTTCTGTGGGTAGCATGATGGTCCTGCTCATTGAAACGAAAACCATAGATCTTCGAGCATACAAACCCATAAAGTGGAGTCAGTTTTGAACTGTTTAAGGTATCAATAGCCCTTTTTTTAAAGGTGCTGAAAGTGTCATTTAAAGTGCAGTTTTGTTTGGCTGTTAATGTTTTATACCAATCCTCATTTTGTGTTGTAGGCACACGGTGTTGTCCTGGTCTTTGGCAAATATTTCCAGCTTCCAAAAATCGATTTCATAGTCTGGAAGTGACACCCCTAAGAAACTTTTAGTGTTTCCACTACAATGGATTGCATTTGACTTGCCTCTAAACAACTGATGGCCCTCGAGGCTACTGGTTCAGCTAAGTCATCTTGCTGCATTGTATTCACTATTACAAAACATTCAATGCATATCAGTTGTTTTTAATCTTCTCCAACAGAAGACCTCTTCTATCTCATTTTTTGTTCAAAAATTTGTCAGTTGGTTATTTCATACCAAACTCTCAATATCCCCTAATTGTTTTGAGCAGTGTGTATTTTTTCTAAAGTGAAATTTTCTTTCAGTGTAAGTGAAAAACAATAATATTTATATAGTTGAACCTCTGTTTTAGCAGATACTTCTCATTAATAGACAGTTCTTGGAATCCCAAGATTCTCAAAGTAGGAGACTCCTGTTTAAGTACACTGGTAAAAAAACACTGGTTTGTACTTGAGTGTCATATAATAGGAAGTTTGATTGTTTAAAATTCATGAAATATATGTCAGATTCTTCAGTACAAATCATATATGTATTTTAAAAAGAGTTGAGGTTCTAAATTTGAGGTTGTATCATTATTGTTAAGTATGGGGTTGTATCATTATTGCAGGATAATAGTATCTTGTTTAAATGTAAAATTTAAATTGTTTGGAGGGATCTACACAATACATGTTTCAAAACATTATTGCTATGAAATAGGAGTAAGTATTCTAGTATGGATCATTGTGTGGAAAAGTAATAACTATTATTAAGAGACTATTGATTTGTGTAATGTAAAGTTTTTAAGTTTTATTACATTTTGATGCTGGGTGAAACTGCACTTTCTTCATTACATGGTTAAAATTATTTCTATTATTAATGAGAATTGCCCCTT